ATGGTTAAGTTCAGTCATCATAGGTAAGTATTATCTCCACTGTTTTAACAGTGTGACAGGCACCAGTGTTGGGTTGTGGCCCGGTTGCCATGGTTACCTCCTTGCTGGGGGATATACTCGCGTAACCGGACCCCGCACTGGTACCTAGCCCAAACTTATTAGTTGATGAGTTTTAATTATAATATACATGTTCATGTAATGAATATTTTTGTTCCCAGACCCCTGGTTGAGAGGGGTCGCACTGACTGCACTCAACCTAAACCTTAACCCAAAGGATGTTTGCCAGTCCATTAGGTTTACAACTCTTCTAAATTTTAAGACCTACGCAAGGCTCTCTGACTCTAATYCTCTTGTCCTAAGAGTGCCTAAAATCGCTATTCCTGCAGTATGTCGGAGTGTTATAGACAACTATAGGAACAGCGTGGATGTTATCACAGCATATAACGCAATATAACCGCGAAAAGGTGCAAGGAATTCTGACGTATGGTCTGCATACTATCGATTCTAATGTTATGGACGCAGTCCCTCCTTATAACAGTTTGCCACCACGGGCAAACGAACTGATAATGTGGATATCAAGAAAGCTAGGAGACGAGGCATTGAGATAGGGAATACCCCCCAAATGCGATCGACGAATGCGTTGATGATCAGGGGCTTGCGTTACTACTTGCATCTGCAAGGAATATTGTGCTGGGAGACGGCATCTGTAAGAACCCAAGTACCATGGATGTAAGTACCTGTCATGCATCACTACCCACGGGGATCAGATTGTTGTAGGAGTTTGTTCCAGATATAAATATTGTTATATAAAATTGTTAAAGCTTACTGGTTGTCAGTATATGGTTAAAGAATCAGGGATTTATCTACTAAAGTAGGGGGTCCCATAACAGAGGGGAAAGGGCAGGGCATAGGTTTGAAAATATACTACACTTAAAAAAAAAAGGGGCCACTGAGGCAGAGGACGTGGGGCAGTGGGGCTACAGCCCCCCCCCCCCACCCACTTTCTCCCTTTTCCCCTACTAGTCTCATATAATTTTCAATCTCAGACTGCTCAGTGCCCCCTGCTAAAATGTTATTAGACAAATACTGATGACTAAAGACAAATAGTGGGAAGGGGTGAGCGGGGGGGAGGTGGCTAAAGTACCCCATTTGTAACAGCCATCATTAGATTCATCCTTATATTGTCACAGTTTGATTAGAGTATTATCTCTTTCTATGTAGTTTGATATGGATTGATTTGGGCAACAAGTAACTGGTGGTACTATTGGCATCATTGGTTTTGGAAGTATTGGAACTGCTATTGCCAAAAGAGCAAAAACATTTGACATGAGAATTCTGTACCACAGTTGGACAAGAAAAAAGTCATTATAAGAACACACAAGTATGTATCTTGAGAAATCATGAAAATATGATTGAAAATAGTTCCATAAAGATAAGCTCAAATTTGGTTGCAATCATTCTGCAGGTGCAGAGTATTGCCATCGACTTCATGATCTTCTTAAGCAAGCTAACTTCCTGTTCCTCTGTGTTTCTCTGACATCAGAAACCAAGTATTTGATCAGTGCATCAGAGCTGTCAATCATGAAACCATCTGCAACCCTAATCAATGTTTCCAGGGGAGACGTGGTTAATCAGGATGACTTGGTTAAAGCATTACAAACAGGACAAATACAAGGTGCAGCATTAGATGTGACATCACCTGAACCTCTGCCAAGAGATCATCCATTACTAACACTACCAAATGTAATCATTACACCTCATAATGGTACTGCTGCCGAATATAGGAGAATTAAAATGGTAACCATTGCAATGAAAAACATAGTAGCAGAAATTGAAGGATGTCCATTGCTGTATCCTGGTCATTGAGAGAAATTCTAGTTTTAAATTTCTTATAGAAAATCCCACTATCTAAATTTGAAATAAACAATAAAAAAGTTTTTAAAATGTGAAATTGCATTTGAAAATTTGTGTGGTCTAAGGGAC